AGTCAATTCAACTGGTTAATTCAGCAATTCATCTTCTACTCATGGAGCGTACCAGTATCCTTCTAATCAATGCTGTAGCCCATTGGATGATTCAATTTTTTTTCTCCATATTCTAGTGACATCAGCATGAAATCATGTGGAGGATGCCTTGCATTTTGTGTTTCTTTAAATCTCTTTCTCATCTAGCCAAAACCTTCTTTTTCATGTAAAACGGAACTGATTAATAAATGAGTTATGACATCAACTAAACTTTACTAGGCACATTTTGGTCTTTATGGTAAAAAGCTTAAGCTTTGGGTTTGAAGTAACAAAATATAAGAGTGGACTTACTAGCACCTTTTCGTCTTTATGGTAAGCGCTGAAAATAAGCATTACCTTGAGGTTTCAAGTTCAAATGCTAATACTCAGAGAGGGGAAAACAAGTACAAGGGTGGAGTTGAAAGAAAAGCCTGAGACTTTTTAGGTTCTCTGTACTGCTAGAGCCGTCAGATAAATAAGATAATACAGAGAGAAGAGAGGGGGATTGTGGTGCAATATCTTCAAATCAGCACTGGAAAACAGTCAGACAATAGCTAGCCATTTGAGTACTATAACAGAATTATTGTGTTAGAATTAATTGGAGAACAAATAATGTCTGATGTGCTCCTAATATCATGCAACTAGCGCCAGTTTTCCTCTTATAATAGCAGAGCTTTACAAACAATGATTTACATCCAATTGTGATCACTTTTGCATGGACCAATTTTGGTGACTAAGTCTAACTTTGAGACGTACCCGTCGTCACAGAGTTGTCAGAAACATATGAAGGAAAATATTTAACTGAAACTAACTGCTCCCCTGTGTGTGTGGAGTGTGCCTGCCTTGCCTAAGAGAACAGAAAAGATTAAGCTAATTTTATTTTGGGTTAAACTTTTATTCAAGGCTGTCCTTCAACTGTTGGGAACTTTGCAGTGTTTTCCGCCTTTTTCCTCACGCAACTCACATGAAATTTCTGTGTGGATGAATACTTGACTAAATAAAGATGAAAAAAACTTTCAAGATTTTCAAGTCCCCAGGAGTATGATCTTGTGAACAAGTACAATTATGTTGCAAGCCTTTGGAAAAGGGTCAGTACTGAGTATTAATGTTTATCAACTTATTGAAGAAATTTTAATCTTGCTTTGCAGTAAATGGTTTATCAATCTTCTATTTTCAGGTATCAACAGTAACTGGAGAATTACTTTATGATAAGCATTGAGACGGTGCTAACACCTTGGAAGATGCATCAAAAAGTTAGACAGTATTATTCTGATTTATATACTTTCTTTTGGGTTACCATCATTTCTTCTGGGTTCAACCCCTGAATTAGGCTTTCAATTTTGTCCTCGTTTGAATCTACTTATATAAGTACGTTTCACCGTAAGCCAAAACAAATTCTTTTCACATGCTTACTTTTATTCGTAAATTACGATTAAAAAGTTGTTTATAAGCCATTCTAAGTTGGCCCTTCGTAGAATTTGGTAAAGCGTGTTAGAGTGGCATAAGACTCTCAAACACTTCCCCGCGTCTCATTCACCATCATAGTACTCGTAGTCTCACTGATCTGTTTGTTCCTTGGATCCTGCCAAGTCATGACTAAGGTAGTTGTATTTAGCATTACATGTCTACATAGCTTCACTGTCTGCTAGTCTTCTTTGCTTCTTCCACTCACAAACATCCTCACTGACCACACCATTAAATTTGAAGGCAGTTAAGTGAATTTAGTTTGTGGCGTTGGACTCATGCTTTTATGCTAAGTCGTCGTTCCAGAATGGGTGGGTAAGAAGTCACTTTCTGAAGACATGGCCTACACTTAAATGCCTCTAGTGGTCTGATTCAAATCATGTTTAGGGATAAAAATCTATTCAGCTCTGATACCATGTAGAAAAGGAGGAAAAACAGAAGGGAGCAAAAAGTCTTATAATAACACCCGGCAAAAGGTAAGGCCTTCAACAGAAAATGCTAGAGTCTTCAACTTCCTCAGTTTGGTGTTTTGTCGTTTGAGTGGATGGTTACCTTATAGAACAGGGTGTCTCTTGGTTAAATACCAACTTATTAGCACACAAGCTAAAGGTAAAGTGCGTGATTGAAAATGGACGCATCATAAACTGGTAAAGCAAAGCAGTGAATGGGATTATTACCTCCATAGAATTCAGGCAAGTCCTCATCAGTATGGTGCCCTACCCCCGTGCTTATTAAGTGTTTAACATCTTTCTGAGGGATGCAGGGTGCTTGACTTTGTAGATCGAAAGAGGGAGAGAATTTTGAAGATAATTTATGCAAATCTACGGCTAGAATTGGAGTTATTTTTCTATTTTTATAAATTATGGCCATTTTGATAGTTTTGTAAGCGTGTGTAAACTGGAAATTATTAATCATCCTCGCTTCCAACAACACCACAAGCCTTATCCCATTATGTGGGGTTGGTTGCATGAATCACATGACACCATCATGTTCTATCAATAACCCAGTCCTTAGATATGTTGTTGACTAGGAGGTCTCGTTCACTTATTTTATTAAGCGTTTTCTCTCGGTCTTCCTCTGTCCTTTTTATAAGACTCCATATTGTTTGATCTACTCTTCTCACCGGGGCCTCTAATGCCCTTCTCTGCACATGTCCAAACCATCTTAAGTAATTTTCAATCATTTTCTCTTGGATAGGTGCCACACCGACTCTTGTTCTAATATTTTTATTTCAAATCTTATCTTTCTTGAATGACCACACATCAATCTCAACATCTCATTTCATTCTTCCATTCTTCTTGTCCTACCACCAACTTTTGCTTTTGTTTTCCTTTTATATACCTAACATTCACTACGTACAACATAGCTGGTCTTATAACAGTCCAATAAAATTTTTCTTAAGTTTCTCAGGTACTTTCTTATCACAAATACTCCGTAGCCTTCCTCCTCCACTTTAACCAGCCAGCTTGTATTCTATAAGAGACGTCTCTATCAATTTTTCCCATCCTCATATATAATGGATCCTAAGTATTTAAACTTTGATACTTGAAGAATGATTTGATCCCCCATCTTTACCTTCAAATCTCCATTGCCTTGCCTTCTCTCAAAATTACAATACATATATTTTGTTTTATTCCTACTCAAGCAGGAACATTTTGACTCCAAAATCCTTCTCCATAACTTCAATCTAGTGTTAATCTCTTCTTTTGATTCCGCTATGAGAACTATGTCATCCGCGAAGAGCATGAACTTAGGATTCTTTTTTGAATAGTTTCGGTTAGAACATCTAAAACAATATTAAACAAGTACGGACTCAAAGAAGATCCCTGATGTAGGCCAATCTTATAAGGAAGTTCTTTGTCTCACCTCCAGTCGTTCTTACACTAGTAGTTATCCCCTTATATAATCTTGTATGGCTTTGATATAAGCAACTCGTACATATTTCTTTTCCAAAGCCTTCCGCATTACTTCTCTTGGTACACGATCATAAGCTTTTCCTGGTTAATAAAAACCATATGTAAATCCCTTTTTTTATTCCTATATCTTTTCATTAACCCTCTTAGTAAATAGATAGCTTCTGATGGGGATCTCCCTAGCATAAATCCAAATTAGTTTTCCGAAATAGAAGTCTTCAACCTCAGCTTATATTCCATCACTTTTTCCCACAACTTCATTGTATGACTCATAAGTTTTATCCCTCTGTAGCTTGCACAGTTTTGAATGTCTCTTTTATTCTTGTAAATAGGAACTAAAATGCTTCTCCTCCAATCATCCAGCATATTCATAGAGCGTAAAATTTTATTAAAAAGTTTGGTTAGCCACACCTCACCGTCATCGTCCAAACATTTCCAAACTTCAATAGGGATATCATCAGGTCTAACGGTTTTACCATTGTCCATTTTCTTGAGAGTTGCTTTAACATCTCCGATACGGATCCTGTGGTAAAAAGCCAAATTCCGATCATCTTCGTTAATTAGCAACTCCTGTGTAAGTCTTGAGTCGCATAATTGCTTTCCTTATTAAACAACTTGTAAAAGTAAGCCTCCCATCTATCCTTAATATCACCATTAGTAACTAGTACCATCTTCATCCTTTATACACTTTATTTGGTTCAAATCTCTCTTTTTCTTCTCTTTTTGTTTCGTAATCTTGTAAATATTTCTTTTTCTCGACTTTGTTCTTAACTCCTTATAAAACCCCTCATAAGCTTTAGTACGTGTTTCGCTCAATGCTCTCTGTCTCTTTTTTAGCGAACTGATATTTTTTCCGTTTTTTTATACTATTACACAAATGTATGGCCTTAAAACAATCTCTTTTCTGTCTGATGTTTTCTTACACACTCTTATCCCACTACCAAGTCTCCTTATCTCTTCAACCATGACCTTTGGATTCTTTCAAAATTGCTTTAGCTACCGTACGAACCCTTGTAACTATCTCTTCCCACACCATGTTTGCATTTCCTTACAACTCCAAATCCCTTCCTCCAAAAGGTCCTTTTGAATAACTCCCGCTTTTCACCTTTTAACTGCCACCACTTAATCCTGGGTTTTACCACTTGATGGTACTTTTGCCTGGTACTCTTAAAACGTACATCAAGGATAAGTACTCTATGTTGGGCAGTCACTCCATCTCCAGGAATCACTTTGCAATTAGTACACAATCTTCTGTTCGGATTCTTAATAAAAAAGAAATCAATCTGTGATTTTGAGGCACCACTCTTGTATGTGATTAAATGCTTCTCTCGCTTCTTAAAACAAATGTTGATAATCTTAAGATTGTATGCAAGAGAAAAGGTGAGAATAGATTGTCCTCCACTATTAACCTCTCCAAAACCAAAATCACCATGAGCCCTACTGAATTATCCTGTTTTCTTACCGACATGTCCATTAAGATTCCCACCGATAAAAATTTTTTCTTCGAGTGGTATGCTTTGAACCAACTTCTCCATATCTTCCCAAAACTTATCTTTAAGGTGTGTTTCTGTCCCAACCTGAGGTACATAAACGCTAATGATATTAATAGTATTCTTTCCAACTACTCTTAAAGATTATTCTATCCTTAAACCTTTTAACTTCTACCACATTTTTTTTCCATATTTCATCAACTATGATACCAACACCATTTCTTATACTCACCTTTCCTATGTACCAAAGTTTATACTCTCCAAGTTCCTTGGCAACGTCTTCAGTCCATTTGGTTTCTTAGAGGCACAATATATTAATCCTTCTGACCCTCATAACTCCCACTACTTCCATAAATTTCTCATTCAGCGTCCCAATATTCTAAATGCCAAATCTAATCTTGGTCTCATGAACTAATTTTTTTAGCTGCCTCCGTCCAAGAGAATGTGGTAGCTCTCGCTCACTTAACACGACATCTGGACAACGATGTAGCGGCTCTAGCTCACTTCTCACTGTACTGGAGCTATACAGTGCGTCACTTCCGAGCAACGATCTAACATTAGTATAATTACTTCGTTGATCCATGTTCATGAGATTCGACGGGTTTTTACGTTGGCTATCGAGGGTCTAACACAACCCTTCTCTTTTATACGGGCTTGGGACTGACTATACAATATAGGCGGAGTTATAATCATCCTGCTTCCAAGTGAGTAAATTTCACTGGCGTTTTTTTTTTCTCCCCTTTTTGCCAGGTATGTAACACGTTGGACTTTAATAGTAGATGATTTGATTTTTTTTCTCCCTAATCAAATGATTACTATCAGAATAAATTTTACCTTTAATTACTCCTGTTGGGTAACTAGAAGGTTGATGAATAAAATTAGTTAATTTTAGACGTGCAGACCTGGTATTAAGTGTTACAAGATCATCAATTAATCTTCTCATCTTAAGTGTTATGGGAAAAAATAGCAAGGTCTTTGCTTGCATATGTGTTCTATGTCTATGCCCTTTGTCATTATGTGGGGTCTGCTCTTTGTGCGCAGGCAGCTATGCTGAGACTATATTTACCAGTAGATAATGCGTTGTGCACTTATTATTATTGCTGTAATAGAATTATATATATTATTTCCTTTTTCCCTTAGTTTTCTTTGACTTTTGGAAGCTGGACCTGTCTGTGAGGATCCTGTTCTTAATCAAATATCTTTCTCTGTCATCCCCATGACAGGCGATCTATTTATTTCTATTTTTGTTACCATTTAATCCTTATTCCTATAAGCTTTGCTTAAGTACGTCACTTTTTGCAGGTTTCATGACCAAGTTAACACAACGTTGGCCTATCTCCATCCAATTAACTGCTCAAGAGAGAGAAAAGTCCATGTGGTGTTTGACATGACGACAATCCCTGCCTTCTTGATTGTTCTGGGGTGCCTTTACTTGGTACTGAGGCCAAGGCGACCTAAACCAAAGATTAATTAAGATTTCCGGCCACAATTATGAACTTCAATCAATTCTTGTTCGGATTGTTACAACTGTTTCCCCGAGTGTAATAGTTCAGTCTTCGTGTAAAAGGCATTATAGGTTGGGCATCAATATACCCCCCCGAAAACAAAAGGGGCTAATTGAAATAAGTAATAGAGGGCTGCTTTATAGTTTGGGGATCAGTTGCCGAAACTAGTGAGAGAAGGGTGACAATGAGAGAGAGTCGAGGTCATGAATGTGTAAACCATTTTGATTTTGACCATAGGACTCACAAATATCGGTTGGGCAGGATTGTTCATAGGTCTGATTTGGCTTGATTTTGTTGATCATACTGCTCTAATCAAAGTAGGAAATCTATAGATATATTTGGTTTTGCCTTCCAAACGATCTCGTTCGTTTTTTGTTGGGTATTGTTGAATTTCGTTTAGCTTGGGAGAATTCTACGAAAAGAAGTTTATAATTACTAAGGCCTCAATGAGAAATTTTTAGAAAAATATAATGTTATTTGCAAGTTCAATGTTGTTAAAACTTATTAAAATGTTTCTTTTTGTGGGATTCTCTAGTTTTTTATTTGGTGAGTTGAATTTCGTTTAGTTTGTTTATAGTTAATTACTACTTCCGGTCATTAATATAAGATCTCGTTTGGCTTTTATTTTGATCCTTAATATAAGCTCCAAATCCATTTTGTCTTTTATATTTATATATATTTTTTTAAAGTAGTTCTTCTAATAATAGTAGTTCTAGTTAATATATTTGATTAGTAAGAATATTTTAGGAAAGACAACATCTATCTATTACAAATGACTAACTTAATTTATTTATTTAATTTCTTTAAATTAATCAACTAGTTCTTATAATTAAGAGTGGAAGTAGTATATATTTAGAAAAGCTTAACTGTTAAACCTATTTCCATATTGGTTATTTAGACAAAGCTCAATTTAAGTTGAAATATAATGCAAACAACAATTTAGCTGATTTATCATTCAAAAAAAAGTTGAAATTTTATTTAAGAAAAAAAAAATTCCATATTGGTTATTTAGACAAAGCTCAATTTAAGTTTAAATGTATTTGATGTTAGTTTTAAATGTTTTAAGTTCATATGGTATTTAGTAATTCTAAAATTAAATTTTTTTTTTTGTGGTAATTCTAAAATTAAAGTTAAAAGAGAAAAACTCATGCCTGTATTTTAATGAACACGGGCAACAATTTATTTAAAGTTTTGGGGTTGGTTAGGTTAGATTATAGTCAACTCACTTTTATCAAGCTCAATTGGTAAAGTTGATTTTTGCGTACAAAAACTGGGTAATTTAGTTGGATTCAATTGATTTGGTTGAATTTTAACAATGCTCAGAGTCAGATTCACTAGTAAGAGTTGAACAACACGTTAACAAGTGTAGCTTGAAATACAAAGAGGGGAGAATTCCAATAAATCCTCTGAGTACCTAGTTAATATTAATCAACTATTTTAAAAAAATTTGAAATTTCACAGCATGACTAAAATTTTATGCGTGAAAACACAAAAATATCCTTACTTTATTTGTGTTTTTTGTTGTAAATTGACGAATTTGAGCTGTAAATCATTGTAATTTTATGCGAGAATGAATAGCTTAAAGTTGATGATTTACAATAAGAATTGGGCAGTTGGAAACAAGAATTTGGCTATTTGTAACATGAATTGGACGATTTGCAATTTAAATAAAGTAATGATATTTTTGTCTTTTCACACATAAAATTTTGGTTAAGGGAGTGCAGTGAAATTTTAGAATTTTTTGGGGTTGACTGGTATTAGTTGGCTGTGAGTTTACTGAAATTCTCCCAAAAAGAAAATGGTCCGGAACCAGGTGAGTCAAAGAGGGCAGGATGGGATTTAGAACGTTGAAAGTCCTTTGTTGACAGTTGCCAGATTTAGACCTTGCATTCTCTTCATTTGACTCTACGCATTTAACTATTTCCAAAATCACTTATTCTAACCCAAGACATTATTATTATTATTATTATTATTATTATAGAAATCAAGATTGTTAACTATTGCCCTCTATACTAAATATAAGAACTAGACAGGGGGTGTATTTTGATCCTAAATATAAGACTTTAATTTATTTTGTTTTTCAAAGTATACTTTTTTTTCGATTTTCAGGTAGTAGTCACAATTGTGAACTATACCCATCAAATTTTAGTAGTTTATTTATTATGTAATAGTATGGATTTTTCATCCGTTGAATTTTCCAAGCAAAGGGTGAGATGAGATCAGGAGAAGAAAATGAGGGAAAAGATGAGGAGAGGGTATAGATCCAAATATATAATAGTGCAAAGATGGCCCACTTCAACCTTATTCAACAGATCTGAATATTAAAAAAAAAAGACTAATCCTAAAATAAAGGAATGAAATGAAGCATCACCAACACTCTTTAAGTCAAGACAGTGAAAAGAAAGAAACAAAGAAAAGAGTATGGGTCAAACACTTGTAAAATATTTTTCTTGCTTGCGCTTTTAAGGCCAATCATAACTCTTTCTATGTTGCTCTAGTCTAATGATTTATGGGATTCTGTCGCATACCAATAATAAGCTATGAAAAAAAAAAACATGTATGTAGCCTCTTTTTTTTTTTTAAGAAAAAAAAACACTTGTAAGATACTAAAACTTGGAAGATCATTCAACATCAACTCAAAAGACCTTAAAAAACTGAAGATTGACTAGGAACGATTTAATACAGCTTTCTAGTGAATTATTCTTGATACATAAAATTTGAAAGAATTACAAATGGTGAAAGAGGAGAGTAAGGATAGAGCTTGAATAAGCTTCTGAAAACTCTCCTCTTTTATTCCAAGCTAGAGAGAGAATGACATCATCAACAAGCATTGGTTCAAGTAGAAGAAACTTTTATTGCTCAAACACGGAGTCTTAAGTTCGAGTCCACATGAATATAAAAAACACTTTTAAAACAGCTAGTTTCAATTAAATCCGACAACACTCGAATCCAGCCCAGTCAGATAAAGAATGACATCAGGAAGAATAATCCAAAGGACCATAAGGCTCAAACAGTTCAGCCATGAATCCCTTCTTTCTTCTAGGGTTCCAACCCATGTCCTTGCAGAGCTGGTCATTATACCATATATGTAAGGCACCTACACATGACCTCCTATGGTACTGCCCTGAGTTTTGCTTCATATAATCATCCCATTTCTTCACATCTTTCTTCATTTCCCCAATGCTTGGCACTTGGAACGTCCCATCCAGAAGCTCCGCCAGCCACCGGCATGTCATCTCATATGTATACAAGTTTGCAACGCTTTCTGAGAACCCAATCACTGCCAATTGTGGTATTTCCGGATGTATGCATTTTCTGATACCACACCATTCAAATTAACCATTTTATACTCTTCAATTTTTATTCCTCAAACATCCATTGTATTGTATTGTATGTATTCATTTGTAAATATTACTATTCAAATCCTTACTATAAGGCTCAATTGATTAATTTTAAAACAAATTAAGCAAGGTAAATAAATTATTTTAAAGTATTTGTATTTTTTTTAAACTAATTTGTCTAACTTATAAATTGATATATAAGCTAATTATGCAAACTGACATATAATCTAATTACACACATAAGTATTTTAAAGAAATCATGTAATACATACTATAATTAAGTAATTTATTTAGCTCTCTTAATCTTTCCAAATCAGTCAACTGTGTTATTATATTAAGGAGTGGGGTTAATATAAAAGAATGGCATCAACTGGGATTCAGTTCATACTCTAAAGTACTTCTACGATTTTTCATATAAGATATAGCTGAGGGATTAAATTTGATTCTAAAGATAATATCTCAAATTATTTTATCTCTCATATTAATTATTTTTTTCAAACCAATTCATATAACTTATTAAGTAACATATAATCTAATGTTATATATAGAAATATTTTAAGGAGATTGTGTTACATTTGTTGTAATTAACTAATTTAGTAGATTTTTGTAATAAGAAAGACTCGAAATCAGAAAAAATGGCCTCACCTATAGAGAGGAACGGTTGAATTTGGAGAGCCGTCAATAAGGTCTTGGAAAGTGGGAGAAGCAAAGATATCTTTGAGCTTCTTATCACCTCTGAAACCAGTTGCTAATATCACCAAATCTGTCTTGAGGGGTTTGTCTTCTTCTCCATCAGCCAAAATTCCCTCTTGGCAGAAGCCAAAGCTTGGAGCTTTCTTCAAAAGAATACTTCCCTCTTCAACCTTTTCATAGAATTTGTCAGGCATGGATGGGATCAAGCAAGAGTTTATGGCTTGATGGAAGCTATGGTCTGGTACCATTCCAAACTTACGCAGTCCAAGCTTCCTTGTAATATGGGTTTCAACGAATTTTGAGGACAGCCATCTCTGTTCATGATTTAAAACAAATATTAATTAATTCTTAATCTTAACTACCAGCATGTTGTTATTATACTAACTCAGGTACTTAATATTGAGAGTTAGATAATTAATTTGTAAATATTAAAGAAATTAGTTAAGTTGATTATTTATAATAAATATGTGCTTTCTTTCATAAATTATCCTTTTTAATTATTTGCATTTGAACTACATACCTTGGTGAGAATTTCTTAATATGCATGCACAATTAATAAAGATATTTTAAAGAAAAATTATAAATTTGAGAGGCAGTGGATTGAAGTATTATATTTAAGACTAAATCTAACCTCCAACTATTTCTTATATATAGGACTGAAGGTAGTACTATCCCTGATCTTTAATATAAGAGTTAAATAACTAATTTTTGAATATTAAAAAAATTTGTTAATTAAGTTAGCTAGTGGTAGCAGATGTGTGTTAGTTTTTCTAAAATACCCTCTCTAATTAATTATATGCATAAGAAGTACCTCTTAATGAAAACACTTTGACTATGTGCAATCAATAGGATACTTAGGTAAACAAATTATAAACTTAGGAGGGATTATGATTTTATATTTAAGATCGAAATAAATCTTTTATCTGACTACTATCTCTAATTCTTAATATAAGAGTTAGACAACTAATATGTTAATATTAAGAAAATTTATTAAGCCGTCATTTGTAACAGATATTGGTTGATTGTTTTTTTATAATATCCTCTTTACTTATTTGCATTATAACTTCTGTGCAGTCGGTAAGATGATTTGGAGGAAAAAAAAATTATAGACTTATAAGACAAAATCGATTGAGATTTCAAATTTAATACCAAAATAAACCTTTTTATCTAACTATTATATTTAAAAACTGAGTGAGTATGAATAATCTATGAGCATTACCAGGGGCGAAAGAATAGTAGCAATGAGACTAAGTAGGAGGCCTTCACCAGGCTTGTGAACGAGAAGCTCTGAGAAACGAGTAAGGTAGAGAAAGGCTAGAGGGATTCCCCATGGCTGATAGTCTGGAATGTTCCAATGCTCACTCCTGTATAAAACCCTACACGGATGCCTCTTCCCTGCATATGTGTGTGTGTGATTATTATTCAAACAAGACGGTGGCAGATTCAGTACAATTAATGTTTTAAAAGTCAGACCGTTCCAACGCTTAGACCATTGAGTCAGACCGGTAGTATAATAACTAAATTAAAAATAATAGTATATGTCATTAACTATTATACAAACAAAATGGCAGATACAATATACTACTTCCGGTTTTTGATATAAGAACTAGTTGATTAATTTGAGTGGATTAAATAAGTTTGTTAAGTTGGTATTTGTAATAAATAGATATTTTTTTTAAATACCCTTACCAATCAAATGTATTAGCTAAAACTACTATTACTGCAAGAACTATCTTAGAAAAAAGTGGATAAATATGAAAAAACAAAGATAATTAAGGCTTATATTGAGGATCAAAATAAAAATCAAATGAGTTCTTATATTAAGGATCGGAAGTAGTAATTAATGAATGAAGTTTAATGAATTTACCGTTGACCGCTTGGCACTCCATTGCGATATCTAACGCAGATTTCTGGAATCCAACGACGGTGACGTGCTTGCCTTTGACAAAGTGAGAAGCAGTTTGGTTGTCCATGGCGGAATAGTCCTGCGAGTGCATCACTTTCCCTCCAAACACCTCTGGGCCTTTGTTTGGAGGGAACTCTGGAATATTCGGAACATCGCTGAATCTTCCCACGCATAGAATCACAAAATCCACCACGTATTCCTGCACACATGCATGTACACGCGCCAACACATATGCATACATGAATGGAGTTATGATACAAAACCAACTGCGTGAATGCGCGCACGTCTAAGACCATCATGTTCAGTTCGGTGCAAATCACTGAAGATCCCAAAAGGATGCAAAAATGTCACGACTGTTACTTTTTAATGGCCGGTCACTGCGTCACACATCCATTTATTATATTCTAAAAGTTAAACGACATTTTCTTAGTTAGCCATGGCATTTTTGCCTCCTTTGTACAGGAATCTTCTTCAACATTATGATACCATGTGCGCATTCATAAATATTTCGTAAATAGATTTATATCCTAACCCTAATTAATAAATAAAAGGATTAAGGTGTAAATTTGTTTTGGAAGTTTTCATTCAGAAGTCTTTACCACTCAGAAGTTTTGTTCAATATAAATTTACCCTGAAAGTTTAAAATTGTAACAAGAAGGGACAGTATTGTTATGATTTTAAACTTCCAAGACAATTTAAATCTGCACCTAAAAAAACTCTCAGGTGCTGAGTACTCATGAGTGAGAACTTCCAGAATAAATTTACATCTTAACTTTAATTAAAATGAATAGCATAGAAAAATGGATATGTAGCTACCTCGCTGGAATCATTGAGGGTGTTCTTGACAGAAACTTTCCATTTTCCTTTGGAGCTGAAAGGCTGGCCAGTGCCACCCCAGAGATGCCAAGCCTTCATCTCATGCTCAGGAGGGCCATGGTAGTGAAGGCTTTGGACAATAGTGTTGAACTTGACGTGCCTTAGCAGATCAAAGTGGTTGGCATAGTCAGTGATGTATTGGAGGACGAGCTGGTTGTGAGGGAAGTCTTGGAGGACAGAAGAAGGCCATGGGAAATCAGAGAACTGAAAGAGGGCCTTGGGAGTTTGGAGCTTAGTGGTGGCTATGGTTTTGGACCAAACTCCTCCAATGCTGCTCTTGGCTTCCAACACTATGGGATGGAAGCCCTTCTGCAGCATGTATTTGCAGGCAAGCAGACCACTTATTCCTGCACCCACAATGCCTACCTGCCTTCTCTCCATACTCTCAATATGATCTTGTTTCTCTGTGCCTCCCTCCTCCACTCTCCATATATATATATACACGCGCACACACCAACAAGCAGCCACTTTTTTTGATCTAAATATATACATATATATATATATATATATATATCCCTGTGTGTAGTCGGTGCTTATCATTAAGATGAGTATTGTGTGCATTGTTGTAATGAAATCTGAACTTTTTTGAAAAAATTAATTTGAATGGTCCATTTTTTATATTTTCAATATTATCTTCTTTCTATGCCTCCCTCCTTGACTGTATATATCCAACAAGCAGCCGCGTTTTGTGTGTGTATATGTGTCTATACACGCACATCCCAATAAGCAAACAATCACACATTATTCTAGTCTTATTTATAGGCTATAAAAAGCAGGTTTTTTTTTCCCCTAAATATAGCTACATTCTAATTAAAGACAATCATGTTCGAGGGACTATCAAGTACTAAATATTTTTTTTTTTGGTGAATGTCAAGTACTAAATATAAGCGCTTCTTCTAATAAAAATTCGAATATTAATTTATCATATTATGAGGAACTAATTTCTTCTATTAACTCCAACCCCCCGGTTGATGAAGGCTTTTTTTTTATAAGCATCATCATTAAATTTTGAACATAAACATACTATTTTATTCTTAAATTATTATTATATGGATTGTTATTTTTTAAAATGTATTTAAATAAGATTAAAATTAAAAAATTGTTAAACTTTAAGATAGTGTTGATGATATTTTAAAAAAAAAATTCTTCGATAAAACTTGATAAAAATAACTTATAAATCAAATTAGAAAAGTACGTATATAACTTCCAAGCAGCCCTTTCTGTCAATATTGTCGCCTTACTCATTTCACTTATTTTCTCGGGGCTGGCGCACATATTTTAATGGGAAAAACAAGAGAAAAGACCAAGTGGCAGCAATACATATCATTATAGTTGATTAATTTAAATAAATTAATAAAGTTGGCTAAGTTAATTATTTATAATAATAAGGTATTATTTTACTTAAAATACTCTTATTAATCATGTATTAATTAAAACTATTATTAAATTGAACATTTAACATGTGTAACTATTACAAAAACTATTTTGAAACAAAGAGATAAACATGAAAGACAAAATGTATTATAATCTTATATTTAAGATCAAATTGAAAGTGAAAATATCTCTTATATTAAAAATCGGAGATGGTATTATGTTTTAATAAGGTCACATCATAAAAATTAAAAATAACAAAAAAGTTCTGTATGAAATTGATAGTGAGAATTTCCCCCCCTTAATTATTGCACGTCCCGTGATGTTTGCCTTTCCTGATAAGGAAAATTGTCTTGTGCTGAAAAACAATTGCGTCAACTATTTAAAATATTATATCCTGTTATATTGTTGCTTTGATTTGATGTGTCTATATATTCTTCATTGGGTGGAGCTAGCGCGGCACGATGCTTCCCGGCCATCACTTGCATAGTTGCATGTGTGTTTAGCTGTACACGTGGCAAAAGAGAAGAAGCCGGCGCATATTAGGCGTGAAGACCATATGAGTTTGATATTAAATTTTTTGTCAGTACTAGTATTATTATTGATCCTTTTCATTTGATTGAATTGTTGTTTTAAAATGAAAATTAAAAATTCATCAACAATATTAAAATATTAAATTTTTATGATTATGTTAAAATGAAGAGTGGATAGGTGGGGTTATGTTATTTTGATAAAGACTATGATTCATAATATATAAGCATCAAATTTTTGAAAGTGTCTTTTTTTTTAAGCATTATTCTAGATTTATTGGATCATTTAATGCATTTTTTATTTTTATTCCCAATTAATTATATGTCTCTCACATGTCTTTTTTCTATTCATTCCTTTCATCTATTTTTTTCGCGTATTCTTTCTCCCCCTTGCTCACTTTATGAATATCAATGTTTAAGAAAAATAAGTTGCATTCTTTTAACATATTTATTATATTTAACTAATTTTAACTAATTTTTTAAATTGCATGAGTTGGTTATTCGATGTTTATATCTTGAACCTACTTGTTTCTAAGAAAAATTTTAGAAAAATGATTATAAAATTTGAAAATTCCCAGATGGTCACCCCAATAAACAAATTTTCAATTTAGGTACAGCTGACCCAATTAAGATTTTGACATTTGCTAAAATAACCATATTGCTTTTTACCTTTTTAAAAAAGAAACTATCAAACACCCTCACTGGTTGGCTGGTTGTCGGAGCTCCAGCGTCAGTGGCCACCTCATAGAGCTCTGGCGACCGGCTGACGATCGATCACTAGAGCTTCGATGACCGACAACTTTTTTTTGGAATTTTTTCAGATCTAGTAACATGATTAATAAGTTCTTTAATACTATTAATAAGTTTGGTATTATCATTAACAATAGGTTTTCAAGAAAATTCACAAAGTGGCATTTTAACAATCTAACGATATGAACAATTTTCATAACACCATTTACAAAGTGATATAAGAGCTTTTTACACATTGAGAGATTAGTCATGATATCATAAATAGATAATTTTTCAGGTATTGTAAGGCGATTAACAAGTTTTTCAATGCCATTAACAAGTTTGGTATCACTATTAACAGTATGTTTCCCAAAAAAAAAATTAAAAATGACATTTTTACAATTTTAGTAATGCGATTAGTAAGTCATGTAATTATATTAACAGCATTCATAATGTTATTAAAAAAATTTCCCTATGAAGACTGTGCAACAAAATTTTTTTCATTTATTAAGCAATCAGTACGATTATACAAATTGTTAATATCATTATATGACTTATTAACTGTATTACTGAAGTTATAAATATACTACTTTTTGAATTTTTAGAAAACTTGTTGTTAACGGTGATATCAAACTTATTAATTGCGTTCCTCTTATAGAGTATTTATTAACTTAATAAGCTTTTTAAATATACTTAAATTAATTAATTAACTCTTATATTAAGGATTGAAAGTAATACATGATAGAACTCTAGCAGGAGGCTGTGAACGTGAGGATATTTTTTAATGAGAATTTAAATACTTATTTGCGTTATGAGAACCCAAGATGTTACACAATAGGCATAATTTTGTCAAGAACCGGATTAGGTCATTTAGTGTTGATGACGTGTTAGTTCAAAGTCTTAACACCTTGAGATTTTTCCAGAGACAAACTCAAGATTTTGAGAAGTTGGGATAACACCTTAGTAAAATTAACTATCCCCGACTAAGTGCTTTGTTTTTGGATCTTTTTAACAAAAGGACTAGCACATGATGATTTTATATTACCTTCGATTCTTGATATAAGAGTTAATTTGACATTCAATTTGATCATAAATATAAAATTTAAATTCACTTTATCTCTTATTTTTATTTATTTTTTCAAGACAGTTCTTATAGTGGTTGTACATATTAGATGTTTCATCAAATAGTAGCGTTCTAGCTAATACATTTAATTTGTAAGAGTATTTTACATAAAATGATATCTATTTACTACAAATAACTAATTTAACTAATTTTTTTAATCTACTTAAATTAGTTAATTAATTTTTATATTAAAAACCAAACATATTTTTTTTTTTTTCCAGATAGGACCAGCTTGTTCCATGAAGATGATTAACGTGTGAGTCAGAGACACTAGCGCGCCAATGGACAATGAAAGTTTAACTCTCACTTGTTGGATAGGGCGTTAGGCAAGAGTTTGATCCGATTACCCACTTTCCCAAGAATCTCAAAAGACTACATGCAAACTCTTGTCTCTTCTTCGAAATCTTCTTGCTTTGATCCAATATAATCTTGATTTTGCACTAACTCTCTAAAACAAGTCTTTTTCTCTAGTTCCCTTTGTTTAGAAAAAATAGTTCAACAATCTATATACTTACTTAATATAAAAACTAGATAATTAATTTATAAATATTAAAAAAATTAGTAAAATTAATTAATTATACTAAATGTGTGTTGTGTTTTTTAAAATGTTTTTGTCAATAATGTATATTAAGAAAACTATTTAACATGTGCAATTATTATAAAGAATAGTACATAAAAAATGAATAATTATGAGTGAAAAAGTAAATTAAAATCTTATACTTAGCATAAAATTGAATCTTTAACTAATTTTTATATTTACAATTAAAGGTCATATTATTTATCAGTTTTAAATATTTGTATCAATTAGTTATTTAAATAGATTAAACACTTATATGGCCAGTGTATCACATATCTAACATTGGTTACTTGTAAACTAGCTGTATTTCATTTTTTTTAATCAATAGTTGCATTTCTTTTTTGTTTTTTTTGGGATCAGCATCAATAGTTGCATTTCGTTTTAAACTTCATGGAATATAATTATATAAGTGACAATTTTTTTCCCATAGCTTAAAGTATTATGTGATGCATTTAACATTATAAAATAATTTTTTAAGTGTATCCAATACCTTAACATATTTTTCAGTACATCCAATATCTTAAAATATTTTTTAATTTAATATCCTAAAATAGTTTTTGGTGCATCTAACACTAAAGCAAAAAAAATGTTAAGATTTTAAATGCACTTAAAAGAATATTTCAGAATAGTAAATATACCACAAAATATTTTATGATGCCCGTGCCACTGAGAAAAATGCAATTTAGCTCTCTTTTTTTTTTTTTTTTCCCATGGATAAACCACAATTTATGTTACTAATTACTATTACTGTTAATTGCTTCTTGTTTACATCGCTAACAATGGCAACCACCACCTTCTAATTTACTAGTAATCACTAATTTATTTTAACAAAATTAAACAATTGAATATGGCTGTGTGTTCTTCAATACCTTTCCCGATTCACGGGAACCTTCCGGAAACAGCTCGAGAGAGACGATCAATAAGTCCATTACCGAAGTTCGCCATTTCGGGTTTTGTCCATCCACTGGCTTTCTCTTTGTCCTCCTCAACCAGCCGGCATTAAGAGCTGGGTCTGCTTCGCAATTTCATATATTTTGAATTGAATTTGGAT